TGGAGTCAGAATGGGATCCATTCTGGGTGGGCAAAGTTGGGAATGTCCCATCCCTGGGTGGGCAGAGGGGCTGGGATATTCCACCCCTGAGAATTCATCCTGGGGTGGGCAGAGAGTCTGGAATGTCCTGTCCCTGGGATCCATCCCTTGGTGGGCAGGTCTGGAATGTCCCCTGGAATCAGGATGGGATCCGTCCCTGGGTGGGCAGAGGGTCTGGGATGTTCCCTGGAGTCAGGACAGGATGCATCCCTGGGTGGGAAGAGTGTTGGGAATGTCCCATCCCTGGTTGGGCAGAGGGTCTGGGATATCCCATCCCTGAGGATGCGCCCCTGGGTGGGCAGATGTTCTGGGATCTTCTATCCCTGAGAATCCATCCCTGGGTGGGCAGAGAAGCTGAAATGTTACATCCCTGGGGTCCATCCCTGGTGTGGAAGAGGGTCAGGAATGTCCCTTCCCTGAATAGGCAGAGGGTCTGGCATATCCTGTCCCTGAGGATCCATCCCTGGGTGGAAAGAGGGGCTGGAATGTTCCCTGGAGTCAGGATGGGATCCATCCCTTGGTGGGCAGAGGTTCTGGGATGTCCCAGTCCTGAGGATCCATCCCTGCGTGGGAAGAGGGGCTGGGATCTCCTATCTCTGAGTGGGCAGAGGGTGGGGACTGTCCCATCCCTGGGTGGGCCAAAGGGCTGGAGTGTTCCCTGGAGTCAGGATGGGATCCATCCCTGGGTGCGAAGTCCCTGAGGATCCATCCCTGGGTGGGCAGAGGGTCTGGGACATCTCATCCCTGGGTGGAAAGGGGGTCTGGAATGTTCCCTGAAGTCAGGATGGAATCCATCCCTGGGTGGGAAGAGGTTCTGGGATATCCCAATCCCTGAGGATTCATCCCTGGCAGAGGGTCTGGGATATCCCATCCCTGAGAAGAAGTGCTGGGATATCCCATCCCTCAGGAATGTCCCATCCCTGAGAAGAAGTGCTGGCATATCCCATCCCTGGGATCCATCCTTGGGAAAGAGGCCAGGGAAGTGCAGATCCTGTGCCCTTTCCCTCTTCCTGCAGGGAAATCCTGCCCTGGGTGGGGGATGCAGGAACANTTTTCCTCCCCAGTCCTTCTTCCCTATTTATTTTCTTCCCTTCTTTCCTCCCTGATTTCCTCCCCAGTCCTGCTTCCTGTTTTCCCCTCTATTTTTTCTCCCCATTTTCCTCCCTGATTTCCTCCTCAGTCTTTCTTCATTATTTATTTTCCTCGCTATATATTCTTCCCTGGTTTCCTCCCTACTTTCCTCCCTGGGTCCTATTCCCCATTTTCCTTCTCTTCTTCCTCCCCAGTCCTGTTCCCTGTTTTCCTCTTGGGTCCTGCTTCTCTCCATTTGCCTCTCTATTTTCCTCCTTGGACCTGCTTCGCTATTTTCATCTCTGCTTTCCTCCCTGGTCCTGCTTCTCTCTTTTATTCCCTGTTTTCTTTTCTGCTTTCCTCCCCAGCCCTGCTTCCCTGTTTTCCTCCCTGTTTTCGTTCTGGATCCTGCTTCTCTCTTTTTCTTCCAGTTTTCCTGCCTGTTTTCCTCCCTATTTTTCTCTCTGTTTTCCTCCCTGTTTTCCTTCCTGGTGCTTCATCCCTATTTGTTTTCCTTCCTATTTTCCTCCCTGATTTCCTCCACAGTCCTTCTTCCCTGTTTTCCTCCCTGATTTCCTCCCTATTTTCCTCCTGGGTCCTGCTTCCCTGTTTTCCTGTTTTCCACCCTATTTTTCTCCCCATTTTCCTCCCTAGTCATTCTTCCCTATTTATTTTCCTTTCTGTTTTCCTCCTGGGTCCTGCTTCCCTGTTTTCCTGTTTTCCTCCCTAGTCATTCTTCCCTATTTATTTTCCTTTCTGTTTTCCTCCCAGGTCTTGCTTCCTTGTTTTCCTCGTGTTTTCTTCCCCAGTTCTTCTTCCCTATTTATTTTCCTCCCTGTTTCGTCCCGAGTCCTGCTTCCCTGTTTTTCTCCGTATTTTTCTCTCTGGTACTTCGTCCCTATTTATTTTTTCCCCCTGTTTCCCTTCCCGCTCCTCCTTCCCTGTTTTCCTCCCCGCTCCTGCTTCTCTCCCCTCTTCCCTCCCCTCCCCTCCCCCGTTAATCGCCCTCATTGTCCCGCAGCAATTAGGGAGGAGAAAGCAATTAAGCAGCTCGGGAAGTAATTAAGGAGCCTGGAGTTAATTACACCGGCTCCTCCGCCAGGTTGGGGACAGGAGACAAGGGACAGATTTCAGAACCTGAAATTCCAACTCCTTGTGCCCAAGCTGCTGGAAAACCATCCAGGAAAAAAATTAAATAGTGAAGTGTTGCTGGATTTTGGGTTTTGGGAGAATTCCGAAGGAATTCAAAATAAAACGGGACACGGGAGGGAAACTGGGAAGAGCAGCACGGGCAGGGATCAACCTGCTCTGATCTCTGATCCAAGAATTCCTGGTTTTTTCCCTGTCCTGACTCCTGCCGTGGGAGCAGAAAGGGGAAAGTGATTTTTTTTTTCCCTGCCAGCTGAGCTCCTCCTGGGAGCACCGAGCCCCAGCTCAGCATTGGAAAAGCTGTCAGGAGAGGAATTCAATCATTCCAGGCTTTCTCCTGGAGCTCAGGGATCTGGTCCAGGTCCTGCTGGACACACACTGGAGATGGGATTCAAGGCAGGGATCACATCCCGCTGATCTCACTGGGCAGGATCCTTCCCTCCTTCCACATCTTCTCTGGGAATTCCTGCTCAGCCCCTTCCCACCCTCACAGCCAGGAATTCCTTCCCAATATCCCACCCCAAGCTTCCCTTTCCCAATGGGAAGATTTCCTTGTGTCCTGGCCCTGTAATTCCTGGTATCACCATGTGNAGGGAGATCAAACCTACTTGTTCTCCTTGGTCTTCTCCTTGCCTTTGCTGGAGCCGGTGGTGGAATATTGAGGGAATAAAAGGCAAACAAACTTCAGTGACTGAAGAATCAGGGAATCATGGAATGCTTTGGGTGGGAAGGGACCTTTAAAATCCATAATCCCACCCCTGCCATGGGGTGGGATGCATGCACTGCCCCAGGCTGCTCCAAACCCCAATGTCCAGCCTGGACTTGGACCCTTCCAGGAATCCTGAAACACTCACAGCTGCTCTGGGAATTCCATCCCAGCCCCTCCCCACCCTCACAAGGAAAAATTCCTTCCCAATATCCCACCCAAACTTCCTCTCTGTCAGCTTAAAATTTAGGTGGAAAACATCCCCTCCCAAAACTGGAGCTGGAAGTGATGGAAATTCCCTGGATTTGTGTTTGGGGCCGTTAATGTAGCACCACTGTGCAGGACATGTGGGATTCCCGGATTCCATTCCTGGGTTTGGGAAGCTCCTTGGCAGGGGACAGAGCTTCTCCTTTCTGGAAAGGAGAATGGTTTTCCTTATCCTAACACATCCATATCCCTGCTCTAGAGAGGCCTGTGCTGCAGGGAATGGGCTGGATCTGGAATTCCTCATTCCTGCCCAGACTCCACATGGGAAACATTTATACTTTCCTTCCCTTTTCTTTCTGAGATCCTGCTCTGCTCCCTGGCTTCTGGTTTGCTTCTCCAATGTTTCTCTCTGCAGGTTCTGCCTCCCTGTTTTCTTCCCCAGGTCNTCCATCCTTGGGAAAGAGGCCAGGGAAGTGCAGATCCTGTGCCCTTTCCCTCTTCCTGCAGGGAAATCCTGCCCTGGGTGGGGGATGCAGGAACATGGTGCATTCCAAGCGCATCCCTCTTTTTCTTCTGTTCCCCTCCTCTTCCTCCAAGTGTTTCCTGCATCTCTTTCCTCTCCTGATCCCTGCATCCACTTCATTCCTGGCACTCGGATCAGGGTGTCCAAGTGGGTGTCTGCACTTCCTGAGGGATCCAGGATCCTTTCCCAAGGTCCTGGTGAAGCAACCAAAGCCAAATTCCCCTCTCTCCCTCCTTTCCTTCTCCCGGGGCCCTTCCAGTCCAACTCTCCTGCCAAAGGTGACCATAGACAGTCCCAGCCTGGGCACAGATGGAAAATTCCCATTTTATCCCTCAATTTGGAGCACTTTCCTTGGAAAAATGGGCTCATGGTCCTGCCCTGCTAACGTTCCCAGGTGATTCTGCTGCCGGGGGATGGAGCCTGGAGCTGGAGGGTGCCCTGGGAATCAGGGATCAGGGAATTGGGATACCTGAACGGCAACGCCAGGTGTTTTTTCTCTTTCCCTCTGGCCTTGGCTCTGCAATCCAAAGGAGCGATTCCATGAGTTATGATCCAGGGAAGGGCTCTGTTCCACCTTTTCCCCAAAAACTTATTCACATGCACGGAACAACCCAACAAAGGCAATCCAGGAGGGTCCCGGAGGGAGAAATCCCTGTGCCCTGGATTCCCA